AACCAACAATGTAAAGAAGTGTTCCCCGAGAAGATGGCATACCTCTGCAGGGTCTAGGTGTAGGTCATCTTTCAAATAATAGCTAACAGCAAGATCTGAAAGGCCTAAGACACCTTGAACAAAATATACCATAGCAACTGCAATGTTATCTGGGGTTAGTTCCACCCCGAAGCATCTGCCTGAGCTAACAGAATTTTTTTCCTTGTGAGAGCCACTTTTATCAGATGAACTAGAATCTTCATTGCTAGTGGTTGTCAGGAGATCCTCATTTCCTGCAGATTGATCAGACAGGGAAATTTCATAAATCATCAAACTTATGTCAACTTCTGTTAACATGGATGACCCCTTATCCTCTTACATGCCAATATGCTGATACCTGTGCATCATAGTGGAAAATTGTAGGCCACAGGAATGTGGTGTAGGCGTGTAGCTAATATCAAGAACCTTTTAACCAGAATGTCTAGGTTAAGCAAAGAAAAATCTACTAAAATTACACAACAGATTGATGTGTTTTATTTCAATGAGTAGCTGCACTTCCGTCTTAAGAGCACACATGGGTTTAAGACAGTTGAACATTTTGAAGTATCAATCCCGAACATACACAAATACTCTAACCATGCCGCAGATAAAAAAAGGGGTATTTAAGTGGAGAAGGGTAGAGAGATGGGTCTGGGTGGACCCATAATCCACTGAGTTTCGAAGTGTGCGCCACATTGGTCCTTCGGGATTTCTTGGTTATCGAAAATAACAAATAAAAATTTAATCCCATTCTGTGAAAGTGGGATATCCGATCAATCAATCAACTAAGCCTTGATCCGAACTAGTTGTAATCCTCCATATCCATTTCCCCTCCAATTGTGAGCACTATGAAAGAGTTATGATTGCTCTTCCACGTGTCACTATGCACCTTTAAGGCAGAGCTTTCCTCTGTTTCGTAAAGATTCTCATGTGTCTCCTTAGTTTGATATGTTTAAAGTACCATAGAGAATCTTCTAGAAATTTTTAACATGTGAGGGAGTAGGGACTTAATTCTATATTACATGCACAAAATGCTATGCAGACAATTGAATTTGAATGAATAAGTTGTTCCTTGTATACTACACACGAACAAAGTTGTTACGCAGACAATTCAATTTGAATGAATAATATGTTACAACTACTTGAGCTGCAGTTAATGCTTAGCATTTTCCACATCTGAAAATGGCAGTGATCAGTTTTCCATCAATTCCTATGGCATGAATAATATGGATTATGCCTTAAGCCATATTGATTTGGTACCCGTATTTTAACAAACAGATGTATGGGGGAAAAAACACGTGTGATAAAAGGACGGGCTGGCCCGTGACACGTGATTAAGTCAGGCCCGGTGAGATGCTTACTCCAGCTTAGGAAAATTTGGATGGATCATCCCTGGTGCTGCCTCAAGACAGCCAAGGCTGCTTCATATCGGGGAAGCCAACAGGACCCTTCCCGGGGAAGGATCACTTTACAGTTGGAACACACTCATAATGATCCTTAGATAGACCAACAATCATTCTAGAGTCTCACGCCAACCTACGTCCAATCAGCCTCCAGCCCAACGTCATAGTCCAGGCATGTGCCACTAAGTAGAATTTTCAGTGCTTAGCGAGTAGTTATTTCACATTGAAAAGGCTGATCGACTCTTTCGGCCTATAAAAGATCCCTCCCTCTCAAAGCAGGAGAGGGCATTCAGAAAATCACATAAATAACCAAGAAAACCTTTTTATCTTCTCTTCTGAGCTCTTCCATGGAAAAAACTCTGAACCTTCTTCTTGCTTGTATTTTCCTATTCCTTTGAGCAATATCAATTCTTGTATTCATTTCCTCCCTCAGAGATTTGGCCGAAAGAAAATGAACATAATCCACCTTAATCCACTTGCCTTTAACCCCTTTTTACAAATTTAACATTTAACCAAAAAGACATTTCTTCCAGTACACAACATACAATCTCATTTGCCAGTTATCAAACTTGCAATCATAACACAGAACAGCCATATACTTGAAAATTGGAATTTGTAAGCGTAATTTTATTTCCTTTCCTAGAAAATGAGATAATAAAATACAATAATTTTACTTTTCTTTTTCAATATCTACCTACTGTAAGATAACTTAGCAGAATTAACCGCTTATATTGCGTAATACAAACATATCGTTAATTATGTGTGTGTAACTTACGATTTGTAGAATAAAGCAACGGTTCAGCATCGTTGTCTTGTTGGACTGGGTCTTCCGGCACTGCAACGGTGACTGCCATTTTGATGTCAGGTGGAGATGACGATGGAATGCCGTTTTCCGGCGAATCGGAGCGAGGATTGGAGAGAGGAAGAACAAGGCCAAACTTGGATTTGTGAAGGGTAAGATTGAGAATGTCAACGTACCCATTTTAAAACTATTTTTTTCTGTTCGTAATTTGTGTTTAAAATGACTTGGAGAGGTTGATGTACTTTTTATGCTCACTTTTACTTATCATCTTCGACTTTTTTATTAATATTTTCAAATATATTTTTATCATATGAATATTTTATAGTATTTTTCGTTTATTTTAATTATTATTTTATATTTTATGATTGTGATTTTTAATTCGGTTTGAAGTTTCACAATTATAATTTTTTTGATTTCCCATCTTTAGAAAAAAAAATCTTAAGAATAACTATGCTGAAAATCATCATGTAACTTGTAAACGATGGAGAATTTATCTTGAGAAGCAATAAGCATTAGCCATCATCGTGCAAAGGATCAAAATTGTCCTTTATGTTTGAGTTAAGAATCAAAGTAGTTCTTGTCTTTTAACATGAAAGCACTAATAATCCTCCACGTTTCAAGAATTGAGACACTGTTAGTATTCTTCCAAACATCTGTCTATTTTTTAACAGAGCCTTTCTTTGCACATGAGAAAATATAAACATGATAAATTTTTTTCACCATTGCAAATCAGATTTTACCGTCTTCTTCGATAACTCAGTTTTCACTTGGTGAAAATCAAATTCTCCCCTTCTTCTATGTAGTATCCAACCCTAATTCCATAACTTTGATTTTCCTATTATACAAATAAAAATAAAAAATTGAAGGAAATTTTGAGCAACAAGAAGGAAATTCCTTCCGAGAATCAATATAAATATACAAATAGTTTTTTTATTATTTATAAAAACAAGTGAGGGGAGAGTATTGTTCTACAAAAACTCATCCTACATACTCTGTAATCAACTCTAGTTGTATGTTCTTTCGTAATTGTACTCATCGTAGGATTTCTTTTTCGAATCTTGCTGACGTTAACAAGTCTTTTCATTCTAGGTTGACACTCTCATTTTTCTTGTACTTCTCTTCTGTCTTCTTCTCTATTATATATATGATATAAGTTTATCCATTTTTCTATTAATCTTTCTATCAAATTTTTGTTTCACATGTATAGAATACATGAATTCGAAAAAGCAATAACAATGATCAAAAAACTAATATCACCATAAGTAGGAGTTGATTCTCTGTCATTGTTGTGCCTTAACAATATAGTTGCTTCCAAGAATCGACTAAGCTTTTAATGGAATTCAGAATGAAATTTTGACTATGGAGTTTGATTGAAGAAGAAAGGGAAGAGAAAATAGAAGTGATTTGATAAAGGAATTTGGAGGGACGAGAAAAACTTTCTCCGGTGCAAAAAAAAGTCCCGTTAAAAAATCAAACGGAAGTTTGAAAGAATACTAAAAATGTACCAATTCTTGAAACATGAAGAACTATCAGTGCTCCATGTTAAAAGATAGGGATTACTTTGATTCTTAACTCAAACATAAAGGACGATTTTGATCCTTTACTCGCCATCATCATTGGATTGTTATATACTCCCTCCGTTCACGTGAAGAAATTTGGTGTATATATTTCTTGAAAAGTGAACAAAGGGAGTATATATTTCTTTTGTGTCGAAAAGAAATGGAATACTATAGTATCTATATAAGGAACTAAAATTCTTATGAGGTTACCTTATTTAGATGTTGTTATCTAATTTTTAAATATTATATATGTCTATTTATTTCACAACAACTTTCTTTCTTGCTTAGTCAGAAATAACCGAAATTCAAGCAAAATTAAAATTATCAAACTTATATCATATGAAATTTTTAATATAACGGTCTTTCAAAGTAGGTAAACTTATAAATTTTTACATACCACTTGAACTTATAAAGGAGTTTTGATATCTTTATTAAAAAAAAAGTAGTTGAAGTAGAGGTTAGAAAAAGTTTTTTAGAAGTTAATAAAATAATTTATGAAACTTCACCATTAATAAATGTGGTGCAAAGAATAGAGTTGTTCCTTTTTTAATTAAAGATCTTGAATTTGAGCCTTGAGTATGAAAAAATCATAGACATCAAACATTTAATCAGCAATGATCATAGACATCACATCTGAAAAATTATTTATTGTTCATCCAGTAGTATCAATGTTACAATATTGGAAGCCCCTCAAAATCGATCCAACTAGTTCCTTAAAAATTGGTACCTGTAAATATTAATAATCCCTACAATTTTTGTGTCAAGTGATTTCTTGAGATTGTAACTAATTACATGAGTGAATCTCTCCAACTGTTATCTCGAAAAGCTGCAGTGAAAACTGAAAACGATCAACCATGTCTGAGGCCACATTAGCAATTTCATGCCATCATGTTATATGCAGAAAGGCAGGAATTTAATAAGGCGTCATCTCAATATCAGTATTCTCGTCTGAATCAGGTTCATCTCGAGGAAGAAGGCCAAGTAGTGGTAAAGGTAGCAGGGTGCTGAGATTGCAGATAATTATTAGGAGAGCCAAGTTGTCAAATTTGTCTTTGGTGACACCAAAGATGTGAGTTAGACCTGCACCAAGTAGTCCCCCAAGGATACTTCCCCCATTGGCTATGGACATAAGGGTTGCAAAGAAAGTTGCCTCCATTCCCAGTGGGCATATTCTTGCAGCTAATACAAGAGCAGGCATGAAGAAAGCCTGAAAAAAATTATAAAGTTAGACAATCCTGAAAAAGTTGCCAGAATACCACTCTCAAAAGAATCAAAACCGACTGATCAATCTGATTTCCTCAACTAAATTTAGAGCTTCCCTCTCTTTTTCTTCCTTGGTAGAGCTTTAGAATTACTTCCCAAAAGTTGGCATTACAGTAAAAATGGGTAAATTTCATAGGACAGCCATGTAGTGACCTTAAGGATCTTACAAAGTTAGAACTTTCTGGTAACATTTCAAGCACTAACAAGTGTGCATAGGTGTATGTGTATCCTTCAACATTTAACTAACAGTCTACCTAACTAAATACTTATCTGCACCCAAACCAATTCAAGTTATCATGGTTATTAAGTGAGTCAACAAAGTGAATATATATTACCATGGTTAAATGATAATCGTATATATTCAAACACATATTATGCATCCATTGGTACGGTGTAAACATCTGGTACAAGTAAGTTTTCAACTAGAACTGATTGTGACACAAAACACATGGATCAAAAGTAATGGCTACTTACCTAGGTCTTTCTGTGCAACATTATTATTCACAAGTTATGGTTTTTCAGCTCAGTATTATAGTTCTTAACTGGAATCTATTGCTGGATTCCAGTCCTATAGTTTGTAACTGAAATCTATTGCTGAGTAGAGTTCTCACAATCTACAGACATGAAAAACTCCAAAACTGCTTTACAGTCACCTACTTTGATCTTCCCATAAATAGAAGAACAGTTCCATCACAATCTTACTTTTTGTCAGCCAAATGCCCTCTTTAGTTAATTGTAATGACTTTCTTTTCAGTTCCATGATTCCTAGTCCTATCAAGTGCTATATGTTCTTTCAATGCACTTCTTTTTTCAGTGATTAACTGCAGAAATTTCGATTACAAAGTGAGTTCCACATTCAGAATGTTCTTTCTGTGTATATTTAAGTGAAATCACAGAACTAGAGATTGTTAATCGGTCTGAGAAGTAAACCAAAGCTAGGCCAGTAAAAGACAGAAGATTACCTGACCAAGAACAGATAGGATCAAGGAATCCCCAATAGAAAACCACTCATCACTAATGCCAAACTTCCGGTTCAATCCGGTTACTAGCAAAACCTATCAACACGTCGATTACACATAAGTCAATCTAAACCGCCAGATAGGGCCAAAAGGCAAGACACAGTAAAACAGAAGATATTTTGGGACAGATACCTGTGTCATCCCAAGAGCTGAACCAATAATAGTTGTCACAAGGAATATTTTCCTTAAAGGAACTTTCTTTAAGAAACCATTGTAAAGCGCAACACCAATAAGTGATGCAACTGAAGTAACAACATTAAGGCGGCCTAAGAATTCTGGAGTGAAACCAAGTTTATTGGTTCTGCAATCAAGAAACTTCAGTTAAAAAACTTGCATCTTGCATTTAATAATAATCTGAACAAGAGACTTGAAGTTGAGCATACATGAAGAAAAACGTAGCAGAACCTGACTGTGGTGTTGCCTGAAATAGGAAAATAAATAGTGTGGGAAGAAAAACATTAGGCTGTTTAACAGCTCCCCATAACTGGATAATGCTACTTTTTGAACTCTCAAAGAAGTCATTGCCTAAAGAGAGACCCCTTGCTGGGCCATGTACAGGCTCCTCTTTCACAAGTAAAGATACTACAGATGTTATCAGTGGAAGTAATGCAGTTACACCAAAGACGGACCTGGAGGAACCAAAACATAATTAACTGACTGAACCAAAACACAGGCTACAATTCTCAACAGACTGAAAAAATATCATACCTCACACCATAAACTTCCACAAGGGATCCACTAAAGTAAGAACTGACAATTCCACCACATGCTGAAGAACCCCAGCAAAGTGACTGAAGAGATCCTGACATGCTTTGGGATTCATCACGTGCCCGCTCAACGACCATGGAATCCACAACCTACATCATACCTCAATTTTATATCCTGGATAAATTGGAGAACAGAAGAAGATACCAGCTGGAAAACAACTTGAGGAACACTACAAGCAAAACAAAAGATAAACTTCATTCCATTTGAACAGCAAAACAACTAAAATTCAAGCTCAAGAATTTTACTCCTCCCACACCCCCGGTATGTAATATTGCCAATATCTCAACACAAACATGAATGATGATGAAGGAGCTGGGTCCCTGGCAATGAGTAGCACAATAGATTGTGACACCAGTTAGCCCCCAGTTATTGATAATATAACTCAGAAAGATTAAATAGTTTATCCACCTTATATACTTCCATATCTTGCATTGAGAATTTCATGGTGGTGAGTTCTTCCATGTCAATATGATAAAAGCTCACTCTAAGCTACGCTGTTATGCATTTTCTTCTAGAATATAAGAAGCGGCAGCATCATAACCTTCTATATTCTTATGGCTGTGATGTAAATACTCATCCTTCAACAATGAAGAATTACCATGTTTCTCAGAGGAAAGAGTTCCTGTTAACAGATGCCAATAACATTTCAGCGACAAAAATCACATAATTTTAAGAGATCCAAATTTTGATTGATTCATCAATAGTCCACAGAAAGCCAGCATTAAAAGTGGAACAGATAACTTGTCAGGGTTGGAGAAGTCATTTCGTACAAATAGTTACCTCTGTCTAACAAGGTTTAACGAAGCAAACTATAGGTTCGGAAACCATGAGCAGGTCATTTGCCTACTCAAATTAGCAACAACCCAAAAATAAAGAGACAACGCATTTTAATATGATCATTCTCGTTCATACTTCTTCTGAGTGTAAACGATAACAGCCCACAGATAGAGAGATACAGCCTGTGAAGTGCATGCTGCTTTAAACACTTCATTTAGATAGTTGTGTATGTTCCTTGTACAAGTTGGACAAAACGCACTCTGCCTAAACCATGTTCAATATACCGTAGGAGTTAAACATGGTCTTTTTGTAGAAAACACTGGTTATAGATGTGATTTTGACTATTCTTATACATAATTTCTGGTTGTATTAGTTTAATAAGTTTTTTGGACTTTCAATGATGTTGAAGACGAAGGAAAATAAAAGATTGTTCTCTTTAACAAATTAAGCTTTTAGAAGATGGTCACACAACAGAATTTGTTACCGAAGCAGGCCGAGATCCGGAGTTCAAGTCTCACTACCACCCTTAAGTTAAAAAGATTTCATGCATTTGACACATGAAAACAAAAATCTGGACCACATGTGAAAGGTGTATTAAAGTCATACATGAGTAAATAAAAGTGTGCTCTCTCTAATAGTGAAAGCTTTCAATGAGGTGGTCATCTAATTGAATAACTGAGTTTTTGAAAACTTATCATGCTTATCCTTTGATATCAACACGGCTGTTTGCTAGACTTTAACTTCAGATAATGTCTCAGAGTCTCAGACGTTATCTCTGGCCCTTTTTTCCAAGGATCCACCTGACAGGCTTCCTTCTAAATTTCAAAAGGCTTTTACAGTTGCTTCAATCAAGTCAAGCTACGGTGCAACTAGCAAGAACTTGTGAATATAATGCAATGGAATAGATGCAGGACATTCTCTAGCAAGAACTTGTGAACATAATGCATTGGAATAGATGCAGGACAAAGAGAATTAATTTTACAGCACGGAGCTGTAAATAAACTGGTTTCCAGAATTCCAGTTCACAATCTCGTAGCGTGTCCACCAGTTCTGAGGTCCAGATCCCAAGAAGATTGTTGTCAACCTCTTGATCAAGTCAAAAACAGTTTAGATAAATAACGTAGCATGCAGGCTTGAATTATTGTGACTAGGTAACAAACCTAACACCACAAGTCAAATAACTGAAACCAACTAGAATCAAAAGGAACTTACGACAGCTGAGAAAGAAACAGAAAGAGAACCAATAAGTATGCAGAAAGCTGCACCATACTTGCTGTCTACAAAAGTGGCCATCAAAAACCATGAGAGAGCTCCAAAAAGTCCTGATAGTACCAAATATGACCTTCTCCGGTATCCAAAGAGTGGGAAGGAATCACTATAAAAGCAAAACCAATGTCATGAAAAATTAATTACTAGAAATAATTAGTTAGATGAATAAGGATGAAATGCGAACTGAATCTAACCTAATGAATCCATATAACGGCTTGGCAAGCAATGGCAATGATGAGAAACCAGATATCACAGCTGTCTAGTTAGCCACAAATAATGTGTCAGTCATTGTACTCAAATCCAAAGAAGAAGTGCCACTGAAAGAAAATAAATTTGACACCGTGTCAAACAGTTTCCATTTTAAAATGCTCTTTATCAACTGAAGTCAGAAATGCCGAGGCAAAGATTGGTAAATTGGAAATATCACACTCAAAATCTTTACAGAAAACGATGAATCAATTTCTGAAAATGATATGTCTAGTTTCATGGTTTCAGGCCGTAGATGAGGATGAATAAATTCCCACAGGTTGATTCATACTGTCCAATCAACTCTATTTACTGATCTGAGAAAAAATAGATAAGAAAATGTTGAATGACCATAAGTATAGTATACCATTGGTAAAAGCACCTCATACACATAACACTTCTAAAGAAGGAGAGGATAGCGTGGAGATTTTCATTTAAATAAACTTGTAGTTCAAGCAACTGACTCTTAATGTATCTTTAGATTCAGAATCCATGTAAACATTAAGGACAATATAATTAGTTTTCCAACTCAAATGAGCACTTTCGGATAAAATACAAGCTTGTGGAAGTTCAACCGACAATGTAAAGAAGTGTTCCCCGAGAAGATGGCATACCTCTGCAGGGTCTAGGTGTAGGTCATCTTTCAAATAATAGCTAACAGCAAGATCTGAAAGGCCTAAGACACCTTGAACAAAATATACCATAGCAACTGCAATGTTATCGGGGGTTAGTTCCACCCCGAAGAATCTGGCTGAGCTAATAGAATTTTTTTCCTTGTGAGAGCCAGTTTTATCAGATGAACTAGAATCTTCGATGCTAGTGGTTGTCAGGAGATCACCATTTCCTGCAGATTGATCAGATAGGGAAATGTCATAAATAATTGAACCTATGTCAACTTCTGTGAACATGAATGACCCCTTATCCACTTTCATGCCAATATACTGATATGTGTGCATCCTAGTGGAAAATTCCTGTCATAGGAATGTGGTATAGCCAATATCAAGAAACTTTTAACCAGAATGGCTAGGTTAGGCAAGGAAAAATCTGCTAAAATTACACTGAAAACCACACATATCACTTGAATATTCTAAATCCTTCTTTTAAATGTCTTAGTTATTAATTAAGTTGGTGATGAATTCTTAACAGATTCAATCAATCAACTAAGCCTTAATCCGAACTAGTTGTGATCCTCTACATCCATTTCCCCTTCAATTATGAGCACTATGAAAGAGTTATGATTGCTCTTCCACAAATCACTCAACACCTTTAAGGCAGAGCTTTCCCTGCTTTGTAAATATTCTCACGTGTCTCCTTAGTTTGACATGTTTAAAGCACCACAGAGAATCTTCTAGAGGTTCTTGTACATGCGAGGGACTTGATTCTATATTGCATCCACGAAATGCGGTGCAGACAATTCAATTTGAAGTAATAGTTTGTTCCGTTTACTAATATATTACAAGCACAAAAATGGTACGCGGACAGCTCAAATTGAAGTAATAATATGTTCCAAACTACTTGAGATCGGCATCTGAAAATTGCTGTGATTGGTTTTCCATCAATTCCTATAACATCAATAATTCATAAATCGTCTTGATTTGGTATCCGTATTTTAACAAACAGTTATCAAACTTGAAATCATAACAATGAACAGGCATCTACTTGAAAATTGGAATTTGTAACCGTAATACAATAACTTTACTTTTCTATTTCAGCATCTACCTACTGTAAGAATAACTTAGTAGAATTAACCACATATGCGGTAACTTACGATTGATAGAATCAAGCAACGGTTCGGCATCGTTGTCTTGTTGGACTGGGTTTTCCGGCACTGCAACGGTGACTGACATTTTGGTGTCAGGTAGAGATGACGATCGAATGCCGTTTCCAGCGAAGATTGGAGAGAGGAAGAAGAAGGCCAAGATTGTTGGTAAGATGGAGAATGCTAAACGTAGCCATTATAAAACTAATTTTTCCGTTCGTAGGTCGTATTTCCCTCTGGTTTATGGAATATTCAAATGACTGGTAATGTGAATGCAGCACAAGTTGACCTGACAGAAATTACAAAAATTGACTTAAATGTTTAGGGAAGATAATCACATGCCCTCATCAAAATCAGAATCAGTTAACATCATCATTTGGGAGTTTCTTCGGACATTCAAGAGTGTAGCTCCGTAATTTTTCCTTCTCCCTTCCTTCTTTCTTTGCCGCGTGTTTTTCACAGCCATCAAAGGGCGGAGCCACCTTCTGCTACCCTTCCGTGAAAAATTATATTATTTATATATGGTTGAAATAATTTTTTATGTATATATAGTAAATGTCAAACCTGCTTCGACTACTTCATGTGTCTATTTTTATCAATTTTAAATTTTTTAATGAAAATTCTGACTCCGTCACTCAAAAACAAGGCAGGTCTTGCATCTTTGCTCTTCCACATTTATTATTCTTCAAAATTCCTCGTGCCATGGAAAACAGTATTCTCCATTTTTTTGCTTGCACGAACTTATTACATACCTAGCAAAAGTTGGTTATATATTCAAACAATAGGCACTCGCACGGAGCACGCATATCCTATCTAGTAGAAATATAAATAGAAATGGATGGAGAAAATGGTCACGTGACTTGTTAACAGAGGAATGGCAATAGGGCGGGTTGGGGTGGGTTAGGGCGGGGCAAGCCTCGACCCGCAAAGATTTTAACCCGCCCTACCCCGCCATATTTAGAATTTTTCAATGTTGTAACCCGTCCCGCCCTGCCCCGCTACACCCTGCCTCGTTTAAGTGTTACTTTTGCACTTTTTATATGTTCTATTGATTCTTTATACTTGTTCTTAATGGCAAAGGAGAACAATTGTCAATACCAAAGAAAATCATGAAAGAAAAATCTACCATTAAATGGAAAAATTACTTAAATACACAACACTTCTTTACCTATTCTCAATATTTCCCTACTATTTTACTAAAATACAAAAATCCCTTATTTCCCCCCAATTCAACTTAATCGGATACTTTATTAGTTTAAGTATCCGCCCTTATTAATTAAAGTATCTGCGCTGCTATATTATGCATCCTCCCGTTAATTTAAGTATCCGCCCGTTATTAATTAAAGTATCCGCGCTGCTATATTATGCATCCGAAGTATCCGCCCGTTATTAATTAAAGTATTCGTGCTGCTATATTATGTATCCGCCCGTTATTAAGTATTCACACTGCTATTAATTTAATAATTGATAACAACAACTTAATAATTTAAGTATCCGCGCTGCTATATTATGTATCCGAAAAACACTAAAAAAAGGGATTTTTGGTAATTAATGAAAGAGTAGGGAAAGGAAGTAATTTCTTTCTTATACTATGTCATTTGCCTAATTTTTACTTAAAATATTCTACTATTTAAATTGTCCAAAACAAACTTTCCTCCACCTACACAAACACACCCAAAAAGATTCTATCTTTAGAAAATCAACCAAAAAGGGAAAAAAGAAAAAAATTCTGGAGTCTGCATTTTTATCTTTAAGTTATAAAATTCAATATATTTTGTTCTATATCTTTGTTAGCATTTCTTCAGCAATAAATAGAAGCAAAAACTTTAATAAAGTACGTGACTTAATCATTTTAATAATAGGGCATTATCAATCATTATTGTATATCGACATCTTAATTATTTTTAAAGTCCAAGTCTATCTAATAAAATATGAAAATGAAAGAGGAGAATAAAAACTAAATATCACCAATTATTTATAATGTTAATATGCAATTCTGCATTATTTTATTTTTGGGATCAACCAAAGCTCAGCTGAAAATAATGGGCCTTTTGGCCCAATACAACCCATCCCTGCCCTGCCCTTTTAAAGTTTTAAAAATATTAGCATTGACCCGCCCCGCCCTACCCCGCCCCATTTAAGTAGTGCCCTATCTTGCCCCGTTAAACCCTTGCCCTGCCTCGCCCTATCTTTGCCCTGCCCCATTGCCATCCCTATAATAACAGTGGAGAATTGATCTTGACAAGTAGTATTAAAATATATTTTCTTTCTGATCAAAAAATCAAATTATATATATATATACATAATACATAAATATATTTTTTAAATTTAGCTTCATCTGATATTTATGTCATTTAATTTTAGGTGTGCACAAGTAAATATTTAAACTTTGTATAAAATTAAACAGACACAATACGTCTATTTATACACACTCATAGTTGGAGACTTGGAGGTGCACACTCATAATTGAAGGACACATATACAACTGAAACTGAAGTCAAGTTAAATGATATATTTATGTGTTATGTCTTCTTCTTTTTTTAATTCGCATGTCTTGCGTGCCACCCAAGTATTGAATAATCAAAAGGCCCCCCCAAAATTGACCCCTTCTCAGGGGCGGCTCAAACCCGTTGGTGGCCTAAGGCCAAAATCAAACTAGAGGCCTTAAAAAAAATTATAAATGTTTTATTTTAAATCTATTTTTCTAGCTTTTTGAGATGCAAAGTTGTTAATAATTTTTGTGTAGTCAATCTCTTCTAATAATTCTTTTTCAATCGATAATATAGCCAAACCACTTAATCTTTCTTGAGACATTATCGATCTTAAATAATATTTTATTATTTTAATTTTGACAAACTTCTTTCGGCTGAGGCGACTGTTACGGGAATTGTTAACATTATATTCTATAAGCAATGTAAGCATTTGGAAATGAATCAAGTCTTTTTATTTGATTGAGTATCTCAATTAGAGTATTGTCTTCTACTTTTATGATTTCCCTTAACACTTTTAATTCAGAAAATAAGTCTAAACCGTCAATATCAGAGTGAGTATTATGTTTTAAGGAACATTCAAGTTTAAGACAATATTTTTTTCAAATTCTCAATCATCTAATGATCTCAATTTTTTCCCACTAAATAGAAAACCAAAAATATTTTCATATACTTCAAATTGTTCAAATCTATTTTGAAGTGAAAAGATGGCTTGGTCTACTATGTATAAGAAGTAATCAACTCTAAATGATTCTTCAAGAGATCTTGTGATTTCATTATCAACATTCTCATCAAATTATTATTTTCTATAAATTACTCGTTTCTTACGAAATATAGGTTCTATATTCATCTCTAATGCAATTTCCTTAGCCGAAATCATAGTACTTGTAAATCCTTCTTCTCTATATGTTTTAAAAAAAAGAACTAAACCTCTTAATTAATCTATAGCGACATCAAAATCTAACAAATATTTAAACACTATTTACAATATCAAATAAAAATATAATAAACATAAGACACAAAACAAAAATAATATTAGAAATTAGAATGATATTACTGAATTCAAAAGTTATGAAGACTTGATTTCCAAAAATGAATCAGGCTGCTGCAATATAGTTTTCTCCAAATTTAAAATATAAACTATCAATAGAACGAGTAAATTTTTAAGCTTTGAATAAGAGAAATGTAAGATTAGGAAAAAGAAAGTGAGAAGAAATAAAAGGGAGGATGATAGAATATATAGAAATAAAATTAGAAAAAAATAAGGTAAAAAAATAAATAACTTGTACATTAAAAAAAAAGAAAAAAAGTACACAACTTTTTATTGAAAAGTCAAAAAGTCATAGTCATATCTATCATACTATCACTTCATTGAGCCGTTTTGCATTTATTGTCTTGGTTCTAATAAATTTTTTTTTTAATTTAATCCTTCCTAATTAACTAAAAAATGGGGCCTTTGCATTTATTGTCTTAATTCTAATATTATTTTTTAAATTTAATCCTACCTAATTAACTAAAAAATGGGGCCCCCTAAAATTGAAGGTCTAAGGCAAAAGACTTTTTTTTAAGCCTTACCAGCCGCCCCTGCCCTTCTCTCACACTTATCAATCATAAATTTCCCTCTTGCAAAGTCTCCTTCCCCAAATTTTGATATCTTTAATTTTGTTCTTACTAAGAAAATGGATGAAACAAGCAGCAAATCAGAAGGAAAAGAAAGCGATGACGAATTCACTGAAATAACTCTGCGGCCAATTGAACTGTCAGATGTGGATGATTTCATGGAATGGGCAACAGATGAAAAAGTCAGCCAATTTTGCAGTTGAGATACTTACACTTCCAAAGACCAAGCTCTAGATTACATCAACAATAATGCAATTCTCCATCCATGGTTGCGAGTTATCTGCATTAAAAACAGAGCAATTGGGGCAATTTCTGTGACACCAAATTCTGGTTGTTTGGATAGTTGTAGAGCAGAGCTTGGTTATGTATTGGCTTACAAATATTGGGGTAAAGGGATTGTCACAAAGGCAGTGAAAATTGCTGTATCAAATATATTTGAAGAATGGCCAAATCTTGAGAGGGTTGAGGCTTTTGTGGATGTAGTCAATAAAGGATCACAAAGGGTGTTGGAAAAAACTGGATTCTTGAAAGAAGGTGTTCTAAGAAAGTTCAGGAATATAAAGGGCAGTTCACGAGATATGGTCATATTTAGCTTTCTATCTACAGATGCTCTTCAAGACCATTGAGTGTTCTGTTTGAATGATGGTTACGTATTGTTTCATAATGTATCGTATAAATATGGTATTGTATTATATTGTATTGTAATCAAAAGAAAAAATGCATGGATTTTCATTCAAACTCATCTCAAAACCTTCACTTTTAAATAATAGAAATGTATATTAAGTGGATAATTTAAGCGTGTAACTGATATTTTAAAATAAATTTATGCATTTACTCAAACAATATGTGAGTTTACTTTGTCCTCATATAACATGGAGTATTTACCTTAGACTTCATTTGATCATTCGATATGCCTTTGAACTACTTCATTGTATCCTTAACAATAATTGTTTTTGAAGATTATAAATACTTAAATTATAAAATGATAGCATATAAATAGAGTAAATATTCAATAAAAATAAATTATACTTAAAATATAAATAAAAATAATATAATAAAAATCCTTCTGAAGTAATACAAGTTTTATTAAGAAGGTGTTGACAAAAATAGGGCAAGCCATTTGTAGAGATTGACAGATTGACTAACCATATTGAGGCTCCCTCGTAACAACTAGCAAGCTCAATCCCCAAGAGTATCAATATGGTTGCAAATTCAATCATACCACTATTTGGATATTTAATAAATGTACTTCCTCTGAAAATTAATCATATTTCTATAAAATAGTGACTAAGTGACAAATAAGATACTTCTTTAGCAGGGAATCTTATCAGTTTGAACATGCAATATGAAATCATGATATGAAATTAAATTAAATATAAAATTTAAGTTTTGTTTGGACATGTAATTTAGATTTCTTAAGTTGTATTTTTTCCCTTAATTATGAAAACTCTACTAATTGTGAAAACTATCAAAATTTTCTCAATTTTTACACAATCTTACCAAATGATCAAGTCATAGTTCATAAACAAGATATCAAAATATCAAAAGGCGATGCATTGATAAATCACATATTCATATTCCGTTTATAAATAAATATTTGTAATTATAAACTTTCAAATACAATTTTTTTTATAAAGATCCATTACTCAATAATTATAACACCTCAAACTTTCAGGATAAGATTTGAACTGTTCTACCTATGCAGCTAGATTCAAATCAGATGAATTTGGATTGTATCTAGGTGTAAAGGTCAAGTCTTAAGTGTAAGAAATGGGTTGGATGTGAATTAATGTTTTTAGCACAAAATCGAGTTGAAAGTATGAGTTCATACATGGGTCAACTTCAAACAAGTATATACTAGAATATGAAAAGTTACATGACTCATAACCTATCAAATTATGATATTAAAGTATAGTTTAGAGCAATAAACCGTTCGGCAATTCGATATTTGTGTAAGAAGTTATGCCTATTTGACTGGACATCGCCTTGCTACGCGTCCGGTTGCGCGATAGTGCATTGAAGACAATGCTACTGCCTTGTCGCGCGCTCGGCTGTGTGCCCAGACGTCAATTGCGCACATGGAGAACATTATAAAGGCATTCCCAAGGTCGTGGTTCACCCCCAAGTCCGAAAAATTATATTAGAAAGAGAAACACTCAAGGTTCATCCATCATCCAAGATAAGATTTGACCATAAAATATTGATGATTTTTTCATCTTAATACAAATTTATGTATACTTCTTACTCATGGATTTCATAGATTTTCAAGAATTTTTTTTAAGAACTCACTCCTGAGATTCAAAACTTAATTTTCAATAAGATCCGCCATTTTATCAAAGAGATTGCACTTTCTTTTACATCAAGGTAAGGATATACTCGTAATTTGTAGTGATTCTAACATATAATTATGAATCCTAAGAAAGAATCTATGATCAAAACTTAGGGCTTCTAAGATAACTATTGAGTTGTACATTCTGTAAATAATACACTTGTTAATTAGCCTGTAGTTAATTAGTTTGTACAGTCAGTCAAGTTGTTAATTAGTTTGTTACACTTTCCACTAGTTAGTTACGCCTTTTCCTCTGTATATATAACTCTGATGGGTTGAATAGAATCTTAGCTTTTCCATTTCACAAATAGTTGTTTCTCTGAATTCTCTCTCTGTATTGATATAGCGGAAGCCTCCATTGTTGTGAGCTCCATTGTTGTATCTCGAGTTCACTAAGTTTTACATGATATCAGAGCGATCTCGATCTAGAGACACTCGTTCCTCTTCTTATTATGTTTTCCTTTTCTTCTCGACCTTCCATTGATTGCGCACCTGTAACAATCAACTATGGCGATTGGTGATACCGCCGATTCTACTGAAATTGGTATTGAAATTGGTAATGAAGATAACACTCCTGCTCCGACTCCGATCGATTCGAACAATCCCCTGTATATGCATCCATCTGATAATCCTGGTGTGATGCTCGTACCAGTGCAGTTCACTGGACTTGGTTATCGTTCATGGAGGCGTAGTGTTTTGCGATCACTGTCTGTGAAAAACAAATTAAGATTCATTACTGGTGAATGTTCATGCCCTAGATCTGATCACCACACCTACAGACAATGGGAGAGGTGTGACGATATTGTTACGCCATGGATTTTGAATTCATTGTCCAAGGAGATTGTAGATAGTGTTGAGTATGTTCAGAATTCTGCTGAGCTCTGGAAAGAGTTGGAGGATAGATACGAGCAGACGAATGGAGCAAAATTGTATCAAATTCAGCGAGAAATCAATGATTTGTCTCAGGGATCCCTCGACATCACAACTTACTACACAAAGTTGAAGAAACTATGGGAGGAACTTAGCACTTTGAATGCCAAAACTTAATGTACTTGCAGCTACATTTGTGGAGCAAAAGAAAGTGTTTACAAGGGTGAACAGGATAGAAGATTAGTTCAATTTCTAATGGGACTTAATGAGACGTATACAACAATACGCGGCAGTATACTTATGATGAATCCACTACCCTCCATGGCACAAGCTTTTTCTCTGTTAGTTCAGGATGAACACCAAAGAGAGATCAAACCTTCAAATCGTCTTACTCTAGATTCGACTGCTTTGCATGCTAGGACTGATATGCCCACACACTATAAAACCAATTACTCCACCAACAATTTGAAGAATAAGGACATGTTTTGTAATTACTGCAGGAGAACTGGCCATCTCATGGAAAAATGCTACAAGCTTCATGGTTATCCACCTGGTCATCTGCTCCATGGTTCTTCACCCGGTCACATTAACAACAGTCAAAACTTCAATTTCAGTCTTAACCAAAATAGGAACACTCAACTAGCTCAAAGGTCTAACACACCTAGAGCACCTGCATGATTCAATCAATACCCTCACACACTCGGTTATGGTACAGGAAATGGGGGTAAGGCAGTGGCAAATGCTAACTGTGCAGCTGATCTAAACATTGGGAAGGGACTAACAACAAGTACTACAGGTGAAGAAATGTTCAATGTGAATCTTACAAAGGAAGAATATGGTCATCTCCAGGCTGCACTCCAACATTTCCAGAAGGATTATGATGTTGAGTGTTCCACCACCAATCAAGCTTTTGCCAATGGTACAATTGATTTTGCAGGTACAATACTTTGCACTTCTTCTATAGATTCTAGCAAACTGTCTTGTGCATGTTTCAAAAACAAGTCTGACTCGTGGATATTAGACTCAGGAGCTTCGAACCATATGACTTTCAACATTTCCCTCTTACACAATGTTACCACCCTTCCCTATCCAATCCTAGTAGATTTACTGAATGGCTATAGAGTTAATGTGACTCAGATTGGAAGTGTAGCATTAGGACCCATGATTAGCCTAGAAAAAGTCTCGTTTGTGCCATCTTTCAAGTACAATTTGATTTCTATTAATGCCATGAGCATGCAGTCCCACTGCACTATCAGTTTCACTAAAAGAGGTACATTTCATACTATCTGATACAAGAAGCCTCTGGTCATTAGTAGGGTAGAAACTGGACTCTACTTCCTTTGTCCCAACTACTTGAAGACTCTTAATTCTTCTTCTTTGAGTAGTATTTCTTTATGTTGCATTTTTCCTTCCTGCAATGCTTGTAATAGAAGTTGTTCTTCTCATGTATCAGATAGTATGAAATGTGCCTCTTTTTTTAGTAACCAGAATTCTTGTTTGAATGTTGAAAATTTCCCTACTGTCCCTTTACTGAATTCTCCTATTTTTTCTCACACATGCACTAGAAATAATGTAGATGTTGTGTGGCATAATCGATTGGGACATGTTCCTTTTGTCAAGATGAAAAATATTTCCACTATCCCCATCACCTTTTCCTCCAAACAACCATTCATGTGTTCTATTTGCCCAATGGCCAGACAAGAAAGATTGCCTTTCAAGCCAAGAACCAGCATAAACTCATACCTGTTTGAACTAGTACAAGTTGACCTATGGGGACCCTATCACATAGCCACTCATAACCACTTCAAATACTTCATCACCATTGTGGATGATTTCAGTAGATCCATTTAGACTCAACTCTTAAGCTCTAAAAGTAATGCCCTGCAAACTCTTAAGGCGTTCATTGCCATGGTGGAAAATCAGTTCCAAACTACTGTTAAAACAGTTAGAACAGACAATGGTCTGGAGTTTGTAAACACAGAAACAACCATTTTCTTTCAAACCAAAGGAACCATCCATCAGAAAACTTGCCCATAAACACCCCAACAAATTGGTGTAGTGGAGAGAAAACATAAACACTTACTTGAGATTG